AGTATTTATATTGAAAAAATTCGAGAAGGAAAAAATTATGGCACAATATGAAGTACCTAAGAAAATGCTTGCCTTCATCAACTTACCGTTAAGCATACTAATGGTTCATATACCTTACTTCCTACACCAAAAGTTGTGTACAAAAAACAAAAACCTACAAAGAAAAATATTAACAGGTAGAAGTAGACTATGGTGCTAAAAGATAAAAAAAAGTTGTAAATATAGGTAATGCAAAGTACCATTTAACTCAGCTCCTTGTTCACACATGACCAAATATTATGTCCCAAGCCACCACATTTACTGCATTTATGATTTCTCTCAACAATTTCATGCTCTGAGCTATCTCGTCGAGTGGAGGTAACTTGTCTTCTTTTTTTGAATTTGAAATGCGATCTCTACGAGGATTAATATCCGGCTCTTGAACCCTTAAACTTAATGGTTCATCAAAAAGTTTAGAGATTTGCTTTTGGGTATCGAGTTTTTGAGACAAAGGCATCTTTTGATATTTCTTTTTCAATTGATTGAGAAAATCGACGAGTTGGTCATCATGGTAGCAAGTGTCATTGTTAAAAGATCTCCCATCAATTATGCATTGTGGATGTATCTCATAAAGATCTATTCTTCCATTTAGATTCCGCCTTAGTTTATGTGCACAAGGGAGTCCCGTGGTATTTTGGAAATGTCCTCGGCACTCATCCAATACTCTGGTAGATGAGGCCAATTTATATTGATTTAAAAGTTGTTCCAGTGCATGTTTAGAGACATTTCCAAGAAGCCCACAAAACAAAGGAACACGAAAACCGTGTGAGGTGCGAATTCTTTCACATTGAAGTTTTACCTTGATTTCTTTGACTTGATTTTCAATGGCAAGACATATTTTTTCTTTCACCTCTCGAAGATTACCTATTGATACTTGAAGATATTTTTTGAGTGTTGAATGAGCACCCCCTACTTTTGAGCTTGCATGATTCTTGAAATGCAAATGTCTTTCTGTCCATGCATACACAAACCTTTCTTTGTATGGAAGCGAAGTGTTTTTTATATAATCAATCGCCAATGGTTTGTCTTTGTGTTTCTCTTCTAATAAACCCCATTTGTCATTGAAGCTTGCTTCATCAGTAGAATATATCACATCACTCCAACTTGACAAAAATTCATCAAACTCATCACCTTTCTCAAAAAATTTCGTACTTTTGGCAAGCAGGTTTTTATGTATATGCCATACACAAAGAAGATGTGTGGTTTGTGGAAAGACTACTTGGATGGCATTCATTAATGCTAACTCCATATCCGTAATAATAACCATGGGAAAATTCTCAACACCCAAAATCTTTTTAAATCATTCAAGAGCCCAAATGTAATCTTCTTCTTCCTCTTTCTGCATGAACACAATGCAAGAGTAGAATGATGTATTAAAACTTGATACCCCAATAACATCAAGAAGGGGCATATTGTATTTGTTCGTCTTGTATGTGCAGTCCATGATAAACACATAAGGAAAATTCTTTGTCAACACTACTGAGCTAGGGTGTATGAAAAATAGATGTGTTAAATGATCATATTCATCACACTCAATGTCAAAAATCAACCCACCATCACCTAGCTCTTCAAATAATGCCTCAATTATGGTACGCCCCCTTAAATCTTCTTTTTTTTATCTTAGCTCTTGCATTATATAAAGATCTTGAATTTGCTTGAAGATTGGGATTGCTTTTACGAAGTACAGACATAATTTCCCGGGGTGTTGGACCAGGCATAGACAATGTTTTCACAATTTGCATCTCATCGATTGAAAATCTACATAAGATGTCCTGACATATCTTTGAAGGCTCATGATTATGTGATAAGTTCTTAATGTCTAGCACCCAAAAACTTCCTTTTCTCTTTCCCCATACCTCAAACGGGCAATTTATGAGACGACTACCAGTAAATTTTTTTCTTTTATAAGCAGGAACTGTTGAACGATGTGTTCCACCTCTATCACAACCCAAAATCACATAATCCTTTGGTTTAGATTTTCTTATAATCACCACAAACCCTTGCTCTAAAGCAACTCTTTGGACATAATTTTGAAGGTCAACACGGCTATGAAATTGTACAGTGCATAAACTCGAAAAATCACTTGATCCATTGTTCTGATCTTCTTTCACTATTTCATGGGATGTGTCACCTGTAAACATTAATTCTTATTGAAAACTACTTTCACCTAAAATACCCAAAGTTCAATTTACAAAGCATAACTTAAAAAATGCATTGAATTTAATAAAACATTTCAACTCTCTCCCAAGTGCAATTCACTACTGCAAAATAAATTTAATAAAATCAAAATTAATAAGTTACAGTCGAGACTTACCCTCTTCCATGAATTCTTGACATATTTCTTCTATGCTCTTCTTTTTCACGAGGTTCAGTATGTTCTCCAACTCAGATTGAACATCCATCTTTAAAAATACCTTAAAAATATATAAAAAATATAAGAAAATGACTGAAAATTGTATGGCAAAAACGAAAGAATGGGGCTGTAAAACCCTAGCTCACTTCTCTTTTCCGATTCACAAAGAAGCAACAATAGAGATTAAGATAACAATAATTGGAATGTAAATGAACTTGAACTATGAATTTAGGATGTGCTTGTTTCCTCAAGTAGAAAGATTGAATGAGTTGGTGTAGAGGAATAATTGAAATGGGTGCAAATTAGAATAGGTATGGTCGTATGGAATATGGATAGCTACTTTTGATGGGTGGCTGGCTGACTAATTGTTAATAAAAGGGCAAAATGGGAAACATAAAAAAAGATATTATGAGGGTGGAGCGCAACTAACAAAAACGGAGCGCGTATATCAATTGCCGATACTTGCAGAGATCTTATACTTAGCACAGTTCACCTTCTAGTGTAGTTGCAGAGAATCAAACTCGAGTCTTATCTCCTTGACACTTCTTGTCTTTGTCAACTGCGCAATGTTCACCGACATCATTTTCTAAAAGAAAAAAAATAGGGGTTGCTACATCCATTTTGTTTTCACTAAATTCACTTATTTTATGTTAAGTTGATAATTTTATCCTTAAAAGTATAAAAGAGAAAGTTTAGATGCAAGCGGGCAAATTTGTATATTTAACATTAAAATGGTAGATTTAGCCAAAATTGGTGTGAATATATTAATACCCAAAAAAATATGCCCTTAAATTATACTAACTCTATCTCTGAATATTTGTTCAATTTGACTTTTTGTACTTAATATTGACAAGCTTTGACCATTAATTAAATAAAATTGATATTAGATAATGATATAAAATTGTTTTAATATATTTATTTTATAAAATATTTTCAAAAATTGTTTCACGTAATTAATATACCATACACGTAGTAACTTTTATTTAAATATAAGTCAAAGGTTGAAAATTATTGGCTCCAAAAAGTTAAAAGTAGACAAATACTCATAGACGAAGATGGTAAGTTCTTTCATGTTTTTCTTCCAAGATTTTAATTTAGTTGTGTTTTTTAGTGTTAAAATTTATTACAATGTTGTATCTATTCATTTGTTTCAAGATTTTATCGTAAACTATTCTATGTCTTTCTTAAAAGGAAAAATTAACCAAAATAATCTCAACTTTACCTGATCTTTCAAAAATAATCCCACATTTCACTGTGATGCATAATAATTCCAACTTTATTGAAATTTGCGATTTTTGGGTCGCCGTTAAGTTTCTAACGACGGGTTAACGGAAATTCCTATTTTGCGCAACAAAATGAAAGTTGGGATTATTTTGATGAATTTTTGTTTTTTTAATTTTTTTTTTAAGTTTTCATTTAAGTTTTTGAAATTACCTTCTACCTCCATTTCTTTTTCTTTTTTAATGATTATTCTTACCTTAGAAAAAATAAAAAAAATAGATATAAAAAATAATAAAAATGATAAAAATAACTAAAACCATACAAAATTAATGAAATAAATAATGTAATCAATAGAAATTAAACTAAAACCGGTAAGAAATAAAATAAATATATACGGAGTGGTGGGTTTTAACAATTTACACACTATAGGGAGTCTTAATGTACAACTTATTTTTTTAAAAGAACAAGCCGTCCAGTAAAGTTGGAATTATTCTAGATAATTTTTTCTAAAAAATAAGAAGTAATACATTAATACTTTGTATAGTGTGTAAAATATTAAAAACTACCACTCCGTATATTTTTATTTTATTTATTACCAATTTCAAGTTAGTTTCTATTGATTACCTTATTTATTTTATTATTTTTGTATCATTTTAGTTACATTTCTCATTTTTTAAATCTATTATTTTTATTTTTTTAAAGTAAGACTAATCTTTAAAAAGGGAAAAAGAAATGATGGAGGTAGAAACTAATTTTAAATAAAAAACTCAAAAAAATGAAAATTCATAAAAAATAATCTCAACTTTCATTTTGTTGCGCAAAACAGACATTTTCGTTAACTCTTAACGGCGATCCAAAACTCGCAAATTTCAGCAAAGTTGGAATTATTATGCATCACACTGAAAGGCGGGATTATTTTTTAAAGACCAGGTAAAGTTTGAATTATTTTAGATAATTTTCTTTTCTTACAAGAATGCACTTTACGGTTCTTTACCTTGGCTTTTTTTGAACCGTCATGATATTAAATGTTGTTGTAATATTCATCTTTCTTCATTTAAATAACAACTACATTACTAGAATTTATAAAGAGTTATAAATTTCTTTTACATTACATATAATATTATACTATTCATTTATTAGGTTTAAAAAAATCCGAGAACCGGCTCAGCTCGAAAATGGCTTCAGAACCGCCGGTTCTGGAACCGGCTTCACCGATGCCGGTTACGGTGCTATTAGGTGGCGGCATCAAAATCGGAACCACACCAGAACTGCACTGTGTACACCCCATAAATTAAATGTGCCCGTAGAAAAACAACAAAGAGTCGGGTGTCAGGCCGATACCATTATGTCTCACGGTTTACCAAATGGGTAATTTACCTAAATAGGACTAAAAGATAATGACTTTCTCAATATAGGACCATATGTTTTTATTTCCCAATGTAGGATCATTGGTCATTATCTATTAGTCATTATTCAACGTCACTACCCAACACAAGCTTCTTGTGATAGTTGTCATGATCAGGTGGGTGAAACATAGGAGAGCTGCGAGTGGCAACACACAAATCCGGTGGAGGAAACTAAGTCGGGAGAATATCTCTGAGTTGATCAGGCGAGTGCAAGAGAAAGGTGTGTGGGAATCGGCCGGAGAGGCTACCGATATGTGGGCGCGGACTGCTAACTGCATCAAGGAAACAGCCAGGGAAGTGTTAGGTGTGAGCTCTGGCTCTGGGAGTAGGCGTCAGGGTGATTGGTGGTGGAGCGATTCAGTTCGAAGTAAGGTGGAAGCTAAGAAAGTGGCGTATTTGAGGTACATGGGCTGCAATGTTGAGGAGGAAAGAGCGGCTTTACGAGTGGAGTACAAGAAGGCACGTAAAGAAGCTAAGTTAGAGGTTACGAGGGCAAAGAATGCCGCTTTTGAGCTCCTCTTCAAGGATATTGAGGAGAAAGGCAGTGTTAATCCACTGTTCCAGCTTGCTAAGGTGCGTGAGAGGAAGGCCCGAGATCTGGATCACGTGAGATGTGTGAAGGGCAGCGATGGTAGAGTGTTAGTTGAGACTGCCAAGGTGGCTAAGCGCTCGGGGGAGTACTTTAGTGAACTCTTGTGTATTGCCGGCGCATTGGCCTGGAAGAGGTGGTTCGAGCCCTCCGCGGGATGCGTAGTGGGAGAGCTTTGGGACCAGATGAGATTCCGGTGGAGTTTTAGAAGCATGCGGGTCGTGGTGCGTGGTTTGGTTAACCAAACTCTTCAATGTTATCCTCCGGACAGCAAGGATGTCTGATGTGTGGAGGGAGAGTCTCATGGTCCCTCTATTTAAAGGCAAAGGTGACATTCAGAGCTGCGAGAATTACTGAGGCATCAAACTGCTTGGCCACACCATGAAGGTTTGGGAGCGAATCATTGAGTATAGGGTGCGGAAAGGGGTTTGCATCTCTGAGAACCAGTTTGGTTTCATGCCTGGCAGATCGACTACGGAGGCCATTCATCTCGTGAGGAGGTTAATGAAAGAGTATTGGGCTAGGAAGAAGGACCTTCATATGGTGTTTATTGACCTTGAAAAGGCGTACGATAGGGTGCCAAGGGAGGTCTTATGGAGGTGCCTTGAGACGAGAGGAGTTCCCATCGTGTACACTCGCGCAATCAAGGATATGTACGATGGGGCTATGACCAGGGTAAGGAATTCCGGGGGCGACTCAGAGTCTTTCTCGGTAGGGATGGGGTTGCACTAGGGGTCTGCCCTTAGCCCTTTTTTGTTCGCCTTGGTGATGGACGTCCTAACTCAAGGTGTTCAAGAAGGGGTCCCATGGTGCATGCTTTTCGCGGATGATATTTTGCTTATCGACGACATACGGGAGGGACTAAACGATAAGTTGGAACTATGGCACCTTGCCCTTGAGACTAAAGGATTCAGAATAAGTAGGAACAAGACTGAATACATGGAATGTCGTTTTAGCGGCCGGGAAACAGAATCAGAAGTGGAAGTTAGGATTGACTCCCACCTAGTACCTAAGGTAGACAGGTTTCGATATCTTGGCTCGGTAATCCAGGCTGATGGGGAGTTAGATGGGGATGTTGGACATCGTGTTGGAGTGGCTTGGGCCAAATTACGGTTAGCTTCAAGGGTGTTGTGTGATTCAAAGATTTCGCCCAGGATGAAAGGTAAGTTCTATCGATCCGTAGTCAGACCTGCTATGTTATGTGAGGTAGAGTGTTGGGCGGTTAAGAAGACTCATGTGCGTCGTCTGCATGCGGCGGAGATGCGGATGTTACGATGGATGTGTGGGAAGACAAGGTTGGATATTATTTCGAACGAAGTTCTCCGACGTCAGGTAGGCATGGTGCCGATGGAAGATAAATTGCGGGAAACAAGGTTGAGATGGTTTGGTCATGTGAAACGGCAGGATGCTGACGCCCCTGTACGGAGATGCGAGAGGATTACGGTTATCGGGGGAAGGGGTAGACCTAGGAAGAATTGGAAGGAGGTGATTAGACAGGATTTAGGACTTCTCACCCTGACTGAGGATATGAATTTAGATAGGAACCTTTGGAGAACTAGGATTAGAGTAGCTGGATAGGAGCTCGGTGCTGTAGAGGTTGTTTTGTAGTGTGTTGTGTTTTTTTGGAATCTTTTGCTATTGCTTGTACTTCGGGGGTCTCTTGGAAACAGCTAGGGATGTAAACAAATCAAATATTTTGAATTCGATTCGTGATTCGTATTCGAATATAATGATTCGAATTCGCATTATTCAAATATTATTTTTGATTCGAATATTAAACAAATACAAATACAAATACAAATAGGGATATATTCGATTTGAATGATATTCGAATATTCGAATATATGTATATATGCACAGACCATGTTTTCAATATCAAAAGTCAAACAAAGTAATATAGTATAAAGTGTATTTAAATTACTAAGAATTCAATAAATTAACGTAACACGAAAATCTAAAGCATATGATTTTTAATAGTTATATTTTATAAAATATAATTTGTGTAAGATGCAAATGTATTAATGTTTTTAGATACGGAATATAGTATAGTATAAGGAGTATCGTAAGTTAAATTACAAATCGATAGTGGTCCATCATATAAATTACATAGTATGATTATTCAAATATTCGTTTAGGATTCGATAACTATTCGAATATTAATCAAATACATATTCAAATCTTATTTTGAATTCGTCTCATATTCAGATTCGGATTTGTATTCGAAAAAATTAAACAAATACAAATTCAAATATCTTGGTATTCGCTCTGATTCAATTCGTTTACACCCCTAGAAACAGCCTCCCTACTTTCGAGTAGGGGCAAGGTCTGCGTACATACACCCTCCCCAGACACTACTGTAGTGGGATTCAGTTAGATTGTTGTTGTTTTCAACTAAATGTCCAGCATCACTTGGATATTATTCTTCTCACTAGTCATTATCAAATTTTATTTAGGGAATAAAAAAGTTGAGAGTCACAAATTTCACTTACCAAATTGGAGCAGGCAAAATACAGAAGCTTCTACGGGAAACCACACTGCACCAGAAATTTCTAGATTTCTCTAAACCCCACCCTCAAATCCTCCATTCCCCACCTCCCCAATCTTCCCTTCATCCCTTTCCTAATATTATCGCTAACCATTTCACGATCGCCACTCTCCACTCTCTTCTCACGCAGGGTATTGCCGATCATCCTCCGGTTTCTCTCCCGCATTGCCACCTTGCAAATGGCGGAAGACGGTGCCGTCACGGTCTACAGCGGCAGCGCTATCACAGATGCGAAGAAGAATTCTCTGTCCATCAAAGTCGGGATCGCCCAAACCCTCCGCGGCGGTGCCATTGTTGAGGTCACTACCGTCGAGCAGGCGAAGATCGCCGAGTCAGCCGGAGCTTGCTGCGTGATTGTCTCCTCTCCCGCCTCTCCCGGGATTGGGCGGATGCCAGATCCCGCTATCATCAAGGAAATCAAACGGGGCGTTTCAATCCCTGTTATGGCGAAGTCCAGGGTCGGGCATTTCGTGGAGGCTCAAATCCTAGAAAGCGTCGGAGTAGACTACATAGATGAGAGCGAGCTCCTGGCGATCGCCGACGAGGATCATTTCATCAACAAGCACAATCTCAGAGTCCCCTTCGTTTGCGGCTCGCGAGATCTGGGAGAGGCTTTGAGGCGAGTGAGAGAAGGGGCGGCCATGATCAGGACTCAAGGGGACCTCACAGGTTCAGGAAACATAGCAGAGACCGTCGGGAGCGTGAGGAAAGTGATGGGAGACATTAGAGTCCTGAACAACATGGATGAAGATGAGGTTTTCGCCTTCTCGAAGAAGATCTCCGCTCCTTACGACATTGTTGCGCAGACGAAGCAAATGTCTAGGCTTCCAGTTGTCCATTTCGCTTCAGGTGGGATCACCACCCCTGCTGATGCCGCTCTTTTGATGCAGCTGGGCTGTGATGGAGTCTTTCTGGGTCAAGAAGTGTTCAATTCCACTGATCCTTACAAGAAAGTGTGGGCAATTGTGCAGGCAGTGAGAAACTACAATGATCCACACGTCCTGGCCCAGGCAAGCAGCGGGTTTTAGGGTCGAACGATTGTGTTCTACACTTCCAGTAGAGGTTTTCTTCATGAAAATTGCAATGAAATAATATGAGTGTGTGCCCTTTGTGTATGTTTAATATACATGTTTCTGTCTTGTTGCTTAACAAAAAACAAATTGCACTTGTTGCTTTAGTGATAACCTCTGCTCTTTTCTATATATACTTGCATCTGTCTGAATAAGATTCTTGGCCTCATCTAAATCATCATCCCAGTAATTTTCATTTGGAATGTTTGCACAGATAAAAAGCGTTCTTCCAATTTGATTCCTTTTGAAAATCCAACATTATTTGCTTGTTTGAGCTAAATTTAAGGTGGGTAAACATCATAGCTTTCTATTAGTTGAGGTTGGAGCTGGTTAGGTTATCACTTTCCAGAGCTTGTTCCTATGAGATGAGTTGGGACAAAAAAAAGGATGGGTTTGGGTCTTATTCATCGTTTGCAACAGCACGTTTAGGAGATGGATTAGGCTCGAGTGTCTATTCCCGTTCATGAAATGTCCATTTGAGCCCACGACTACGGTTGTGTGTGCGAAGTAAAACATCACATTTTGAAGATGGCATTGGATGAGTTTTAAAGCTCAATATAAGAATGTCAATCTCCATTCCTAGCACATTGGCTATACATCATCAATTGTTGCTTAGAAAGTTCTACTTTCAGAACAAAAGAAGACTTCTTGTCTCTAGCTATGCCTTCTACATCTCTAAATACTTTTGTAACAAGGGACAACATACATTGGAGGGATGATATTCTAATCTTCTGCATAGATTGTTGCATGATTGTTGGTGTTGGTGTTGGTGTTGGTGTTGGTGTTGTTGTTAGAGATGGACCTTAGAGCAGTCTCATAAGCTGTGAAAATGGCACCATTCACTATGAATGCTCTCGTAACTGCCGTTCCAAGTCCTCGCCAGAGCACCATGTGTCCCTCTTCTTTCACAATCCTTCTGAAGCAGTCCACAATGCCGTTGTATCTTGGAGGAGAATACAAAGACTCGGACTGAGCCTGAAGTCTGGTTTTGATCACGTCAAGGGGGTAACAGCAGATCCAGCTGGCAACCCCCGCGACACCACCTGCCACAAGCATGGTTTTGACAGTCTCTTGACCGCTGATCCGGCATCCCGGGTGGAGCTTCTCTCTCATGTATTCGTACGTGCAGAAGTACCATCCGTGAGCTGGTGCGTCTCTGAGGACGGTGATGGTTAGACCACGGTACATTCCTCTCAAACCTTCTTGTCTGAATATTTTCTTGGCGACGTCTATTGGACCTTTGTTGTGAATTGTGACTGATGATGATGATGATATGTTGTCATGGGGTTTCTGCAATTGCAGGCGGATTTTCACCAGCTCAACGGGACTGAGGATCAGGCTCTGGATGGCTCCTGTTCCCATTCCGCCCAATGCGACTCCTTTGTAGGAGGGTGGGCTGCTGGGTGGAACGTCCCTGTCAAATGCCCTTGACAACAGTGCATATATCTGGAAGACCATGGCGTTCTGCACCACCATAAAAAACCCACAAATTTGCATCAGATATCAGAAAGTAGTAGGATCTGGAAAAGGTGTGTGAGCAAATCTTACCCCTACTTGGAACGTTTTTAACCACAGTATTGTTTTAAATCTATTTTATTGAATGCTTTCTTAGATAATTTAACTTGGTCAACTACAATTTCAACAAATTTGCATTTGATCAACCAATTTGGTTGGTATAATTAAACGTAGTATTTCAAAACGTATCTCACATTTCAAATTGCCTTTTCAGAATGTGTCCTTGCATTCTCACTGCAATGATAGTTTCATCCGTATTAATTTGTGCACCCAATTACTCCTCACTATTTTAACCGTAGTTTTTTTTACTTGATGATTGTGCTCTATCTCTCCTGCAATAAGTTTTACACTTTCATTTTCTTTTGAGTAAATTACTCCCTCCGTCTTCTTTTAGATTAGAATATTGGAGAAGTCAAATCAATAAATTTTTCCCCAAATTACCCCCAATTAATAAGGAGTCAAATCATTACATAGAGAGATGGAAGGAAGGGTGAAATGGTCCAAATGGTGTTAAAATTGGAACTTTGTAATTCTTTTTGGGACAAAAATGAGAGGGAATACTGTAATCAAATTAAGGACGGAGGGAGTATAATAACATACTTTTACTTTTTAACAGTTTTCTTAAACTCCATTTTCGCAATATTCAATCACTTTCTAATGATAGTTTAAGATGGATTCATGAGTCTCGTGCCATTGATAATACCCATCAGTCCCAAAAACAAGTTCATGCTTTTCTTTTCTGCCTTTTTCAAATAAGAATCTCATTTCATTTTAATGAAATAATGATGTAATTCATATTTTCCCTCTATTTTCAGCAAGGATCTTTTAACATTCAGTTTCAATGTCATATGAAGCACCTAAGGTATCCCGTTAGATCCAAAAGTGGTTCCTATCTTCCTGATCCCCAAAACCCGATGTCCCCTCATCCCCACTCTGAGGATTTAGGAAGGGTCGAAACCATTTTCGGATCCCATGAAAAACTGTAGGTGACTGAAATGCTGACATTACTGCCCAATGTCAAAAGATCCTTGCCATATTTCAATTCTTAACATATAGTGTGTGTTTGGCAACAATTTCAAGATTTGGCTTTTATGTTTTGGAAAATGATCTAAAAGTTGATGTTGATTGGAAATTTATGTTTTTGGGACAGGACCATATATAACCTGGGTCCGACCGGGAACCTTTTTTGGAGGAGTTGGAATATATATACCTGGAAGGTGACGGAGGCAAGGGGAGCAGCCATGCCTCTGTAGAGTGGCCGGAGGCCGTCGGAGGCGACGACCTGACGGAGAATGGCGAAGGCAGATCCCGCCCCCGCCTGCTGCTGCCGGATTCTGAGGGTGTCGAGGGGGTATCCGGCCATGATCCCCACCGCCCCGCCGAATCCTCCCGCCACAAACTCTCTCCCCCAACTGCTGGCGAGGAACTCCGGCCAGAAATCCATCTATCTCTTCTTCTTCTTTTTCTTTCTTTAACCAGTCCAAAACCATTCATTCATCCAGGGCCTCTCTTATGGTCGCCGTACGTACCTGACGCATTCTATTTTTTTCTGCTCTGTGGTTTTTTGAAACTTGATTTGAATGAATGAGAAATAATGGACACTATATGTCTCGTCGTCAAAGATTATTATTACAGTAAATGTTTTTTTTTTCCTTGTTTGATTTTTAACCGCGGGGGTGATGGAATGAACGCAGGTACGTACGGTACAGGCGCAGGGTCGGTTTGGTGGGTGGGTAAAATGCCAGCGGGAGTGTTTTGTTGGGAGCGAGAGGAAACGGCCAAACACGGACTGCGTGTTTTTTTCATGCGCACCCGTGTATTTCATGTCACTCTGCTCCATTATACTTCCTCCATTCCAAAAAATTTGTTACGTTTAGAAAAAACTACGTTCCATAAAGTCTATTACATTTCTATTAAAAAATCAGTTTTACAACTTACTTTTTCATACTCTACCTATCACATCATACCTTTTTCTTAATAATCTACCCATCACATTCTACTGTTATCCATCACATCAAGGGTATTTTTGGAAAGTCAATACCAAAATATCCACCATTAATTTCCCAAAAAGTCAAACTGTCCCATTCTTTTTGGGACAAAGGGAGTATAAAAGAAACCATCTTTTTTACTCCGGCCAAACACGGAGTAATTTTTTTTAATGAAAACTTCTAATAATGCCAAGTACACGAATATATTCAATTTTAGGATATAAATTACCCCCCATCAGTCCGAAAATGATTTACGTACATTCTTATATACTGGACTACTATTTTGATTTTGAGTAGAATCAGTAATTTTTCAAAATAGTTCATTCTTAGTGGTTTCTCACATTAATATTCCCTCCGTCCTAAAATATATATTCTTCCCATTTACTTTACCTATTTTCATTAGATATTTGATAAAATAATATAGTCTTGTCACCACTTGTTTTATAGAACTTTTGATGTAATTTTTAAATATATAAATTTTATTTTTTAATTTTACACCTACAATCAAATAAATTAAATTGAAAATAAAGTTGGTCAAACCTCGTAAACACAAACAGGGAAAACATTATAGGACGGAGGGAGCACTCAATAAACTTTAATTTACTTTATAATTGAGATTTATTTTCTTAGTTGTCTTTCGTAGAAAATGTAACTTAAAAGTTGATTAAGTGGATGATATTTTGGTATTTTTTATTAACTAAACTTAGAACGAATTTTCAAAATGATCATTTTTAATGAAGTATTTTACTAAAATGGTGGTATTTGATTCAAAATTTATAATATTTTGACAAATTTTTAATTATTCATGAATTATATATAGTTAATGGTTGTTTTAATTTTACATGAAATTGTGTGGAAATGACCATTTTAAGAATTTAAATTTAGATCATTCAAATACCAAAATACCCTCCAATTAATCACAATTTAAGTGATATTTTTTTACGAATGAGTACTTAGGGAATAAGGCTCAATTATAAGGTATCATATAACAATATAGGTAATTAGAAATTATTAAAGACTAATTTAGGAAAATACGTTTTTAGAAAGAATCATTTTGAGAATTTATTCTTCAATCTTCAAGTTTTATTTATTCTGTATTTTCATTAGTTGTTTGATAAAATAAAATATGATTGTCGTATCTTGTTTTGTAGAATTATTTTTTATGCAGTTTTTATATATGTAAGTTTTACTTTTTATTTTATAATAATTTATAAATAAAATTATTTTATAAAAGAAATAGTGTTATTGCACGCAGTTCAAAAAGTGTAAATAAATTCAGGATGGAGAGACACTATCTTTATTTAGTAATTTATTTGAGAGAAAGATCAAAGTAAGACTAAAACATTGAAAAATATACCAAAATAGGACTTCAATATTTTTATTCCTGAAATAGGATTTACATTACCAAACATGGTCAAGTAAATTGTCAAAAAAGTATAGTAATGTGCACATGTAGAGTACCACATTACCACAGTGCAAAGTCATATTTTGAAAAAAAACATGGAAGACCTATATTGGTACTGTTCTCTATGTTTTAGTCATATTTAGGGTGATTACTAAATTTATTTCTGATTGTTTTATATGGAGTATTTATTGTTTACCAGCAATCCATTTTTGGAAGCGTAATTTACTATCTTTAGTAAATAATTTATTTTTGATCGTTTTATATTTATTGTTTACCAGTAATTAACTACGGAGTACAATGAATGTCTTTCAATTTTTTTAGAATGAATGATCATCAAAAAAATAAATTACAATGAGTGCACTTATACCATGTTTAAGGGTAGTTTTTGGATGAATCGCAATTTATTCAATTCTATTATCACTTACGTAAAGTTGGAGGAGTATTTTCTTTTTTTCAACAACGGATAAATGCTAGAGAACAAAGGCATTCACTGTACATCGCTCTAGAAGTGCACAAGCGCTATTTGGCGCTATTTGGCAACTCACATTGGAAAATAAAGATGAGTATCACTTGCACATATTGAAGGGTTAATTTTACCCGATACTCTATCCGTTGTTCTTGACCCGCCGGAATTTTAACAGAATAGTTGAAAGAAACTCAAAAAAACTGAAAGAAACTCAAAGAAAATGGAAGTAATTGAAAATTAAGAATTTAATTAGGAAGATATAAAACTTTGATGAAACTCATAAAAGTAAATTATGCATTTAATTAGGATATGACTATAATAGTTTTATCTTTTTTCTTTTTATGACTATTTTCATATCGAAGGAAACATTATTATATTGAAGTGAATCCACTTAGTTGTTATTCTTCTGAACTTGCTAGGTTCTCTTGGGAGCCCTGACTGGTTTTGATTTTAAATTTATATGAACCTTTTTAGATCAATAGCTTGCGAGAGGAGATGAAAGTCTTGGCGTCAAATAGGTCTATAACTATTGTTACGGATTAATTCAAATTTAGAGGTTCTAATTGGATCAGAGATGCAATTAGGCGCCAAATTTCCGGAAGAAGTTATTAGGCTCAATTGCAAATCTATTTTAACGGAAGCCAACAATGAAAGTTTACCCATTAACGTTTTGGTCCAAAGCGTGGATGCCAAACACGCCTATGTCAATTAAAGAAACAAATGTTAATGAAAAAACTTATGAAAAAAGAGTGAATTTTTATTTAATACTTACTCAGTTCCATAAACTACTTATTTTGACTTTTTCAGGAAAACAATGTCGTGCTTTGATCACAAATTAAATATAATTTAAAATACATAAATGTTAAATAAATCTGATGTATCAAAACTATAACTTAACATGAATTTGATAATATTAAATTTACATCATAATTAATTACATATTTTTTTCAATTTTGTAATTAAAGTGTGTCAGACTAAAAAAACAAAACATGAAGAAGTTTATGGGATAAAGAGAGTAAAAGAATGAGAAAATTAAGGACCATGCTACACTTACACCAAAAAATATACCTCATTTGTACACCACAGGTTTGCACAAACATTTCGATGGTTTACACCGACACAAGTGTTGGTGCGTTAATAAAAATTCACACGGACACAAATGTTGGTGCGTTTAACAAAAATTAGTTTTACACCAACACAAAGTGTTGGTGCAAAACTGCAGGGTACAAATTGGGGTACAAAACTTGGGGTACACATAGCATAATCCGAAAATTAATTGAAAGAGTATTGTGAGGGGAATATAGACGTACTGGATTACTCCGTATATGAGGATATCATAGAGAGTAGGGGTGAACATGATATGTTATGATTAGATATTTAACTTCGTAGTGACACCGTATCTAATATTTCAGTTTGATATGATATTTTACGTTGTATTGATTCTTTTCTTGAAATATCAGTTGGTATGATTCGAGATTGTTCAACATTGATTTCATTACAAATCATGATGAATAAATATGAATATATTTCCTCAAAAACAAAATACAAATATACACTTTAAAATGTAGCAAAATATTTTATTTTAAAAAATGTAATTAAAGTATTTTTAAAGAAAATGTAAACGAGTAATTAATTGAAAAAAATGTACTAAACATAGTTTATATTTCACAAACTAAAGATAACGAATGATAAAAAAAATTAGTTCATTTTTAAATTCATCTACAAAAAATTAAATTTGAATAAATTTTTCACAAATGCTTTATAACAATAATTTGCACATAATAAAACTTTAAAAAAATCAAAATAAATTTTATTAATGAAGAAATATAAAATGATCTTAATCAACGAAGATACATATAAAATGAAATTTGCATTGAATATGACTAAAATATAAGTCATTTCTTGTAAGATTTAAATTTTTTTATTTCCTAAATAAAACTTAATAATGACTAGTAAGAAGAATAATGTCAAAGTAATGCGGGACATTTAGTAATGACTAATAGATAACGATAATAATATTTACTCCCTCCGTCCTATAATGATCTTCCCAGAGCACTATTCCAACCTTACAAAAATTATATTTATTTGTGTTTTTTCATGGCCTATATGATAAAATAAAATATTCTTGTCACCACTTGTTTTGTTGAACTTTTGATGTAGTTTTTAAATATGTATGTTTTATTTTTTTTTTTCTATACCAATATTTAAATAAAATAAATTTAAAAAACTTGGGATTTTTCTTCGTTTTGCGAATCGGGGAGATCAAATAAGACGGAGGGAGTATAATTATTAGTGTGTATATATTCTCGGTTGAGATTTTCGATAAAAAAGTTACTCCGTACGGAGTACTTCGCATTGTTTTCAAAAATGGAAGCAATCATTGTTGTGATATTTATAGTAATTTTCAATTTTACTCCCTACATCCATAAATAAACTTTCTCTTTGTTCCCTATTAAACTTCTTTTTTCCCTTAAAAACTCCCTTTTACCCCTTACTTTTTCATACCCTACCTATCACATCATACTTTTTACTAATAATCTACATATCACATCTTACTTTTACACATCACATCAAAGGTATTTTTGGAAAGTCAACACAAAAATATCTGTCTTTTAAATTCTTAAAAGGTCAAAAAAGAAAGTTTATTTAGAGACGGAGGGAGTATATTTTTGGGATAAGAACCAAACTAAGAGTAAAAGATATGACATATTCCTAACATAGAAGTTGAAACTTAAACTCTTCTAAATAGGAGTAATTAATTTAATTAATCTAATCTTCTCTCACACACTCTGCCTTCCCGTCCATTTCTTAATGTCCCCGAGCCGGTGGTCAATGCGGCGGAAAGAGGAATAATGTTGCTGGGTTTCCTGAAGGGTTTTAGGAGTATTCTGAAAATTGGCCGCTACACATTTTGTTTCTTTCCAATTTGAATGAATTGAGTCAAGAAGTTTGACTGGGCTTTGGTGGGTGGGTTGGATTTGTTTGGTTGTAATTTAAACTTGTAATTTGATGAAAATGGTACTTGATTTTATCTTGAGTGTCAACTTGAAAGTTCTATAGAAAATGTGAAAACGAGGAAAGAATATTGTTTAAGAAAGAAAGGCATGATTTGTTACCATAAAACATTTGTAAGATTACAAATGAAGGCGAAGAAAATTAAATAAATAAAGTTTGAATTTATAAATTTTTCAAATGTATACAAAAGAATGATATAGTAGAGAAGCCACTATCGAGACGAGACTTACACAGTGACATATAAAGGCATACATGCAAATACATAGTATTAAACAAAGGGATAATACCAAACATGAAAATGTATAAAGCCACACTTGGCAATATATAATGATAGATATGTCATTGTATAATGATATATATCACACATGTTAATTACTACCTCCGTCCCAAAAAGATTTACACGTTTTGACTAAAGTTGAAATTAAGGGAGGGATAATTTTGTATTGACTTTCCAAAAATACCCTTGATCTGATGGGTAAAAGTAGAGTGTGATGTGTAGATTATTAAGAAAAAGGTATGATGTGATAGGTAGGGTTTGAAAAAGTAAGGGGTAAAAGTGGTTTTTTAATAGAAATGGGTAGGAGATTGTGGGACACACTTTTTCTGAAAGGTGTAAATCTTTTTGGGACGGAGGGAGTATATGTTAGCATCAAACTATTTTGATGCCTTACTTTGTCATCTTTGCATAATTTTCAAGTTCTAACCGATGTTTTTCGCCTTTTATGGGGTTTTTTTTCTCTTGAGAGAAGTCTTTGTTAGCCTGCATAGAGAAAAAGTTCGTGGGATTAAGTAGTATTCGAGTCGCACGAGGAATGATGGGCCTCTTGTTTCATATTCTAATTTGGGAAGAGAATCAAAAGTTTTTTTAGTCAAAATCCACCATTTTCGTCGTTGATTTTTTGCCTTCACTGCCGACATCACGGCTCTCTACCACTGTCTCCAACAGCATAAACACAATTTGCATTGTTGATATCACAGTGACACATTAGCTACCAAATACAGTGTTAAAAAAACATAATGTCAAACATTACACCACATAGTGTCACAAATGATAATGCATAATGTCACAAATTGTAACACCCTAATCCGTCTGTAGCCCCTTTCGGACTAAAGTATTGATTTGGTAATCGTGATAATTTAAAACAATTCAAACATTTTTATTTATAAATAATATTCCATACATAATTGTAGAAAATACGGAGTGTTTAATAATAATGCGGAAGCGACTTTTAAACATGTCTCATAACAACATAATTATTTATTTTTGTTCAATGATCCACCACGACTGTCTCGCCCCTTCTGCTGCCAGGAATTAGCCAATCATTCATTCTACCTACCTGCGTGTAGCAAATAAAACACACTACACGCTCAGCGGTGAAGCTGAGTAAGCATATCTAAAGCGTCGAACATCCAAATAAATTGAATCTCAATTCATAATCAACCATTTGATATCATGCACACAATATATAATTCAAACATTCATGATATTCTCAATATTTTATTTTAAGTCATTTGATATTCAATATCTCAACCATGCTCTTAAATTATTCCTAATCTAAGGCCAAATCATTTTATAAGAAGCTCTTAGCTATTCCTAGTCTAAGGCAACATTTCTAACCAGGCCCTTAAACTATAAATAGTTTAATGCAGAACACAAGAATCGATAATCCACCCTATGAGTCATGTGGATTACGTACCAACCGAACAATAATTTGTCGGGTGGGTGATATCCGGTCTGGATCCCGTACGTACGTTTTAACCCGAAATATGAATTGGTCAAGTAGGTATATCTTAGAGTTCTTCTAGATATCCTTAATAATCATCATCAATATACAAGTGGGTATATCTTAGAGTTGTTCTAGATATCCATAACAATACGATTCATTAATTCATTATTTTCACTTTAACAATTCATGATCATCATTCAAAACGTTCATCATCATTAATTCATTATAATCAATAATCAAACAATTGTCATAATGCATAATAACAAATAGCAGCATAGTCTCGAGTGTTAACACCCGAACTTACCGTCATGCATCACATAGTGTTTATTTGTCACAAACATCATTTTTATTGTACAAAATCATATTTTTATGGTTTATAATTAATTCGTAACAAAATAGGATTTTAGAGCATATTTTCAATAATATTTTCAGAACAGGATCTAGAATTGAGGAAAATAATTTAAAATAATCATTTAATTTATAAAAATTGATTTATATAATTTTAAATAATCCATTAATTCATAATAATCGATTTTTACAATTTAAATAATCAATTAATTCATTATAATCGATTTTTATAATTTAAATAATCAATTAATTAATTTTAATCGATTTTTACAATATAAATAATCGATTAATTCATAAAAAATCGATTTTTACAATTTAAATAATCCATTAATTCATAATAATCGATTTTTACAATTTAAATAATCAATTAATTAATTTTAATCGATCTTTACAATATAAATAATCGATTAATTCATAAAAAATCGGTTTTTACAATTTAAATAATCCATTAATTCATAATAATCGATTTTTACAATTTAAATAATCAATTAATTCATAATAATCAATTTTTACAATTTAAATAATCAATTAATTCATAATAATCGATTTTTACAATATAAATAATCAATTAATTCATAATAATCGATTTTTACAACATAAATAATCGATTAAATGGTACTGACTTCGAACCACTGGTCTGAATAAAATTCTAATCGATTTTTAGTAAGTAAATAATCGATTTTCGGCTACCGTTCATCATCTTCTTCCTCGGGTCAGTTTCGAGTATTATGGTTTTAAAACACCAAACTTCAATTAAATTATATAGAAATGTTCTCCAAGGTTCATAGATCATTTTAGGATCATCAAAATATATTTTTAACATCAAATTCAATGTTTATGATTCTTGGTTCTTCAAACATGTCGAACACAAAACTCAACCAAATGACCATTTATGAACGTAAAAACAACCTATATGAACATTCTAATCTTTAGATATATCTACGGGCTTACCTTGAAGCGTAGGGGAGGTTTTGAAGATTTTCCGGCGAACCTTCCGGCGACTCTATCTCACTGCTCCGGCGACCTCACACAAAGATGACAACACCACTGCACTCTACTCTCAGCAAGGAACAATATAGAAGGAAGAATGAATTGTTTTGGTGATGAAATGAGGGAGTTGGGTTGTCCTTAAATAGCCCAGGGAAGAAGAAGAAGACACAGGTTTGCAGCTTCCGTGATTGAGCGACGATTTGGAATCGGCGTAATTGAACAGGGCGCCGTTTGGTGTGTAGTCCCTGATTGGGACTAATTTTGGTCCCAGTTAAAGTACCCTTTTGGTTCCAACTTTCTCCAAATTGAAATCCGATTGAACCGTTGGGATCAGACAGTCAAACTCTACATAATGATATGATTTTCATTATTTATTGACAAACTTTAGAATTTACTTATTTTCGGGTCCTTCTCAGTAATTAATTAATTATAAATTAATTAACTCTGATAGGCCTATTTTTGGGGCGTTACACAAATTCCCATATGTAATGTTTTAGATGCAAATTGACAGTGTCACACAAAGATAAATAGCCCATAGATCAGACAATTATAGTCTAAAAACTTTTTTTAATCGATATGTGCATTCCAAATCAATAATCAAAAATTAAAAAAATAAGTCATTTTAGGGGGACAAAGATGTATTCTTGATTTGCTATTTATAGCTAAAATATACACAAAACATCACACAACTAATAGATGATGCACTGCATAAAGCACTCACTATCAATAATTAGAGTCCAAAAAGGTAAAAAAATCACAAAGAAAAAAGAAGGGTTTTTGGAAGGAGAATTTCGTCGAATACCTTTTGGGCCTCAAACGCATCAAAACGGTTGGGAGAAAAGAGGTGTTTCTCCGCTGGACCGAACAAGAAGAGAGATTTTGGCATACATAGATTAATTGAGAAACGTAGAGGAAATTAAACTGATAGCCAGAGCTTCTTTAGCAATAATAAATCCCCAAACAATAAACCCAATTCAAAAGTTATACGCGAATGGAAAAGGAAGGGCAACGAGGTGGAGAGGAGATGGCGGAAGGAGGATGCGGTAATCGTGACAGAGGGTCGACAACAATGGTAGCTAGGGCAGTGGGTGCGATGGTGCGGAGAAGAAGCTAAGCAAAGATAAAAGGAAGATACCATTTTTCTCTTTTTGTGCGGTCAAGAAAAATTGATTGAATATGGTGCAGGTAGGACTTTGGATAACATCACTTATTACTTGATTAATCACTCCTATTTAGGGGAGTTTAACTTTGAGCTCCTATTTTGATGATATGATATAATGATATATGTTTTAATCCTATTTAGAAGGTTTTCTTTATATTTATTTTTTTAATTCAATTTTCTGGAATAATTCAACCCGAAACAGACTATAATACCGAGGGATATTTATTGACGGTATAAAGGGTACTTATTTGCTTCTTGGGCGTCAAGAAATCTCTATTCTATTAAAGCAGCGAATCCCTCCGTCTCTTTAATCAAACTCTCCCACAATTTTATCGCCTGTAAACCTAATCGGCCATGGCTCTACTCGGACCGCCGGAGCTCCGAAACGCCGCCCTGCCATCGCTCGAAACCCACACCACACCACCATCATCCGGCGATCCATTTGTGGATCTCATGGTTGCCAATTTCAACGAAGCCAAATCCTCCCCTCCGATGGGCTTCACCGAGAACATGGCGGCTACCTATCTCTCATCCGGCGACCCCTGCCTCGATTTCTTCTTCCATGTCGTCCCCGACACCCCGGCGGGGTCCCTCGAAGCGCGGCTTTCCGCCGCGTGGCAGCATGACCCTTCCACGGCGCTCAAACTCATCTTCAACCTCAGAGGCGTCCGCGGTACCGGGAAATCCGATAAGCAAGGGTTTTACACGGCGGCGATTTGGCTCCACAACCACCATCCCAAAACCCTAGCCTCTAATATCTCTCACTTGATGTTAGATCCACGCAGAAGACTGAATGGGATCGGAGAAAGCGTCTCGCGGTCAGAAAGAGCATAAAGATGAAATGTAAGGGCACAGCTAAGAAGAAGAAAGTTATGTACATGGTTCCCTCTCTGCCCAAAGAAGAAAGGAAACTGGTTATGGCCAAGAAGGTGATCGATAAGTACAAGGGCGATGGAGATTTCCGGTATCTCTATGACCGGATCTCCGATTTCTTCGGGGAAGCTCTCAGAGCCGATCTGGAGCGCTTGAAGGCAGGGGAGATGCACAAGATCAGCCTCGCCGCAAAATTGTTGAATAAGTCAATTCTAATTTTATTTATCATTATCATGTTTATTTTTTAATTAGTCATAGTTAGATGGATCCTATTTTATAAGATCTGGATCCTAAATTGTAGTGCTTCCTGGCCTATTTATACTTAACCATGTAGCAAAGAATATGTGTGTGAGAAATACAATAATCTAATTCTCTTACTCTCTCTGTACGTTGCAAGCTGCACTTTCAAAGTTTTTTTTCTTTCTTTTGTTCCAACATCTGGTATCGGAGCCTCTTGGTTCATGATGAATCCTCAGGGGACATCACAATTATCTGTTCCTATATTGAATGAGAAAAATTATAACAGATGGAGCGTCCAGATGAAGGTGATGTTCGACTACCATGAGATGTTAGATATCGTGGAGAATGGGATATCTGCATTAGCAGACAATGCTAATGAGGCGCAGAAGGCAACCCATCGTGAATTAAGGAAAAAAGACAAGAAAGTGTTATACTTCATCCATCAAGGGATGAGTGATGAAACATTCGAGCAGATTGAAGGTGCAAACACCTCACATGAGGCCTGGAGCAATCTGTTATCGGCGTACCAGGGAGACGAGAAAGTGAAGAAGGTGGGACTCCAAACACTGAAGAGGCAGTTTGAATTACTGCAGATGGAATCCACTGAAACGGTTGAAGCTTACATCAATCGTCTTTTTGTTTTGACAAACAACATGAAGACAAATGGAGGAACATACACGGAGCAAGAGAAAGTAGAGAAGATTCTGAGGACTTTAACACCCAGATTTGAGCACATCGTGGCAGCAATTGAAGAATCCCATGATGTATCGACAATGACAGTGAAGTTACTGTCAGGTTCTTTACGAGCCCATGAGCAGCGTCTAAATGGGAACAAATCTGAAAAACCCATTGAGCAGGCACTTCATGTACAAGGCTCTGGAGAATTTAATCAGAAATCTGTAAATTCTCGTGGTAGAGGAAGAGGTCGTGGTGGCCGTTACACCAACCAAGGACGTGGCAGTGGAGCAGACAACATGAGCCACAACAATAGGTCGCACTAGAATTCTGATAGCAACTATCAACAGAATGGCAGAGGTCGTGGCCATGGACGTGGTAAAGGGAGACATGACAAATCCCTCATGGAGTGTTACAAATGTCATGAGCGTGGTCACTACGCTAATGAATGCAAACTCTAAAACACTCAAACAGCTCATTATGTACAAGAAAGTGATATCAACGTGCAAATTGATGGAGGTCATACTTTATTAATGGTAACGGCATCAACCGAAGCTGTCAATCATCATACATGGTTTCTTGCAACTGGATGCACGAACCACATGTGTGGTAAAAAAGAGCTATTCTGTGATCTTGATGAGACCTTCTGGACAAGTGTTAAATTTGGCGATGGAAGATCTGTACCAGTGACCGGGAAGGGAAGAATTCTCATCACTTTAAAAAATGGAGATCACAGGTATATCTCTAATGTTTTCTACGTTCCAGATATGAAGAGCAACTTACTGAGTATGGGCCATTTGATTGAAAAAGGATATGCCATGAGTATTCAGAATAATGAATTTTTGATTTTTGATCAAAGCGGTACTCTCATCCTTAAGTCCGTTTTATCAAAGAATCGCATGTTTTCCATTGATATCTCTAAAGGTGATTATAAATGTCTGAATGTGATTGTTAATGATGAGTCATGGTTATGGCATCTCCGTTTTGGGCATTTAAATTTTCGGAGTCTAAAGAAGCTTTCCAAAGAAAATATGGTGCATGGTCTGCCGAGCATTAATTCTCCTGATCAACTGTGTCAAGCATGTGTTTTGGGAAAGAGTCACAGGTTACCATTCTTAGGGGTACCATGGCGTGCAAAACAACGATTAGAGCTCGTTCATACAGATGTGTGTGGACCGATGAACATTGAATCCATTGGCGGAAATAGGTACTTCTTAACTTTCATTGATGATTTTACCAGAAAAACATGGATTTATTTGCTGAAAAAGAAATCTGAAGTCTTTGAGTGTTTTAAGAAGTTCAAACTTCTTGTTGAAAATCAAAGTGGGTGTTCTGTTAAAGTGTTGCACAGTGATGGAGGGGGGGAGTATATCTTGAACGAATTCAAACTGTATTGCGAAGAACACGGGATACATCATGAAAAAACTTTTCCATATACTCCCCAACACAATGGTGTAGCAGAGAGGAAAAATAGAACAATACTAGACATGACACGAAGTATGCTAAAAGCTAAAGGTATGCCTAACCACTTTTGGGGAGAAGCTGTTGCATGTTCTGCTTACTTGTTAAACAGATCACCAACAAGGAGTGTTCAAAATATGACTCCCACTGAAGCATGGAGTGGATTCAAGCCCAGTGTTCAACATCTTAAAGTGTTTGGATCAGTAGCTTATGCTCATGTCCCAGCTGCAACAAGAACAAAGCTTGATGATCGTGCTGAAAAGTGTCCTTGTTGGCTATAAGCAAGGAGGATACAAGTTGTTCAATCCTTTGACCAAGAAAGTAATTGTGAGTCGTGATGTGTCATTTTCTGAAAATGATGCATGGAAATGGGATGTAGACCTTCATGAAAACTTCAGTCAACGTTCAATATATGTTTTGGATGAAGAGTCAGACCCTTCAATCACACCTACAGATTCAACTGACAATGCAAATGGAGTTCAGACAGAACCTTCTAGTGGTACACTCAGACCACAAGTTCAAACCTCTGCTCCATCTGCAAATGAAATTGGGATATCTTTAGCCTCTAGAAAACCACAACGACATCATCGTATGCCAACACACCTTCAAGACTATGAGGTAAATTTGAATGATGACAGTGATGATGATATGGAACTGGTACACTTTGCATTCTTTGCAGCAGTAGAACCTGTGGAGTTTGAAGAGGCTATGCAAGATTCAAGGTGGGTGGATGCTATGAATGAAGAGATGATGGCGATTGAGAGAAACAAAACGTGGGAACTTGCTGATCTCCCACAAGGTCACAATGCCATAAATGTGAAGTGGGTATTCAAAATAAAGACGAAGCCAAGTGGGGAGATAGAAAGATATAAAGCAAGACTTGTGGCGAAAGGATTTGAACAAAGAGCAGGGTATGACTATGAAGAAATATTCTCTCCAGTTGCACGGATGGAAACAGTCAGGCTTCTAATTGCTCTTGCCGCACAAAAGCAATGGAAAATCCATCAAATGGATGTTAAATCAGCATTTCTCAATGGGCCGCTAGAAGAAGAGGTATTTGTGAAACAACCACCTGGGTTTCTGGTAAAAGGAAAAGAAGAAAAGGTGTACAAACTCAAAAAGGCCTTGTATGGCCTTAAGCAGGCACCACGTGCATGGAATAAACGCGTTGATTCCTTTCTCCATGGTGCTGGTTTTAAAAAATGCCCGTCTGAACATGGGCTGTATGCAAAGACAAATGGCACTGGTGATATATTGCTACTTTGTCTTTATGTTGATGATGTAATTTTTACAGGAAATAATTCCAGTATGATTGAAGACTTCAAGAAAGTAATGGAAAAGGAGTTCGAAATGACAGACCTCGGCCTCATGTCTTATTTCTTGGGTATTGAGGTTGTGCAAAATGAGAAGGGAATTTTTATAAGTCAAAAGAAGTATGCTACTGAGTTTTTGAAGAAATTTGGTATGCTTGATTGCAATCCTGTAAAGACTCCTGTAGAGGTTGGCACAAAATTATCAAAGGAAGGAGATGACAGATTAGTTGATTCCACTTACTTTAAACAAATTGTGGGAAGCTTAAGGTATCTGACTTGCACTAGACCAGATATATGCTTTGCGGTTGGCTTGGTTAGCAGGTTTATGGAATCACCACGACAATCACATATGCAGGTTGTGAAGAGAATCATGAGATACATAAAAGGAACTCATGACTATGGGTTATTGTATTCCTCAGATAAGTCTAATAATCCATTCAAAATGGTTGGATATTCTGACAGTGATTGGGGAGGAGACTTGGATGACAGAAAGAGCACATCTGGATATTGTTTCAATTTTGGAAATACGGCATGTTCGTGGTCCTCAAAGAAACAATCAATTGTTGCACTTTCAACTTGTGAAGCAGAGTATGTTGCAGCAGCTTCAA